AAAAGTTGGTTGTAATCACCAGTAAAATGTCACACTCAAATTGTAAATGGTGTGGGTTTATTCTCCAACACCGATGTGCTAAAGTAGTAACTGATTGGCACGTCTTGTTTACGTGACAAAACTTACTAATTGGCTGTGTCCGGTGGTGGTGGATTAACGACAGATTTATATTCATGCGATCTAACCCAAACATATTTTTATTATCAATAAAATTAGTTGCAAAACCGTTGAGTTAACTGAATGTAAACGTGGTGCACCACTGCCAAAGCAACATGACCAAATGTCTTGTTAACATGCAGGTGGTTTTAGAGCCTGATGGTTATATGCTTGCATGCCACTAATTCACTGAGACAAAACCTGTGACAGTATCCACAACATTTAATTTTATATTGAATTACTCCTTCACAGGAACTAGACATCCATATTAAAATATGAGGAAATTTAATTGTATCTTCCTGATATAGATATATATATATGAATTAATGAGTTTGGCCACTATGTTGTAACATAAATATATTATTTTCTAAGCTAGTTAAGTCACATGTGCCGAAGAATCTTAATTCATTATTTAAAAGATACTACCTCTACAGAAAGAACAATGTATACTGTTTTTACCAAAGAAAGCCTCGAGGGATGTTATTAAAAACTTGTACTATTTAAGTTTGTTTTTCCCTCCTTGAGTCCGTATGCATTTTTAACAGTTTTTTTTTATATTATATAGTTTACAACTATGCCAAGAGTAGTGTGCCTTCAGGCATGGAGCAAGTGCCCACTACGAGCTATGCGGTGATGGAGCACATACGTGTTCACCAACAGAGTCTGATGGTTATATGATAGCATGCCATTAATTCGTGTTCACCAACACACGCATGTTCACCAACACACGCAAACCAAAATAAAATATTACAAATATATTTTTTTATAACACGCTTTAATCAAATGTACTGCCCGAGCTGCCCCTCCCCCTGCCCCCTTCCCCCATCGCCCCTCCCCTCCTTCCACATCCCGCGCCCCTCCGCGTGGCTTCCTGTGGCTTGCCGTGACGTCAGGGACCACGTGGTGATTTACAGGCAACGTGAGTTGAGCGTCGACACTTAGAGCCGTAAATGGGGACAATTAGAGCCGTAAAAAAGATTGTTTAAAAATAGATATTTATAATTTTCAATGATAGAATATAGTATTGTCATCAGTATGACATACCTATACCAAGTTTGCAGTCGATACGACATTGGGAATACGGTTGAAATTGAGTTACAAGATTTAGGATACGACAACACATACAGTAAGTTAAATAAAAGCGTGAAAAATGTTTAAAAATATATGTTTTAGATTTTTTATGATAGAATATAGTATTGTCATCAGTATGACATACCTATACCAAGTTTGCAGTCGATACGACATTGGGAATACGGTTGAAATTGAGTTATAAGATTTTTGGATACGACAACACATAGTAATTGAAATAAAAGCGTGAAAAATGTGAAAAAAATTCTATTTGTTTTAGATTTTTTTTATGATAGAATATCGTGTTGTCATCAGTATGACATACCTATACAAATGTTGCAGTCGATAGCACATTGGGAAGTGTGTAAAAATTGAGTTACAAGATTTATTTTTTGAGGATACAACAGACGAAGTGAGTTAAATAAAAGCGTGTAAAAATCGTTACGTAGAAAAAAAAATCATCATTGTAGCACATTTGCAATGAGCAAACAATTATTTTTTTAAAAACTAAACAAGGTGGAAAAAGACTACTGTCACCAAAAATATAGGTATTTAATTATCCGATGCCATCCACATACAGGAAATATTACTGTATATATTATGTATTTTAAATTACATTCTCTTGAAAGTGGCTTTGGTGGGGAAAAAAAGACAAGATAATTTTTGGCACATCCTTCATCTGCCAGAAAACCAAGATTAAAGCAAATTATACTAATGCCCATTATAAAAATGTTTTTTTCGATTATTGCAAGTGTTTTTTATGAATTCACGTTTTAACATTATAATAATTTCGTTTCCTGCCATTCCTTTAACTATAATTTTATTCCAATCATTTAAAAATATTTGCATTCCTTTGTCTTCTGTGCAGATGGTTCCATTTGTAAAACATTTTATCTCCAACATTGTCAGAGTGAAAATGGAATTTATTTATTGACTTTGGCAAAATAAAAATCTAATAATTTTTATCCAATAATTTTTAAATATTTGCGTTCCTTTGTCTTCTGTGTAGATGGTTCCGTTTGTAGAACATTTTATCTACAACTTTGTCAGAGTGAAAATGGAATGTGTTTATTGACTTTGGCAAAATAAAATATAATCAAATTAAAATGTATAAATTTTTAACGTGGAATGCTGTTTGGCCAGATCTTGAAGGTCGCATGTCTTCTGCACAGCATTTGCAGGATCTGGCAGAAGGTAGAAAGCGCCGGCTAAGTTTGGTGACATCAACGGCTTTGGCCATGATGATGTTCAAGAGTGACAAGTCTCCACTCTCGCTCTTAGTGCAAGGCCACTGGATGGAGGATTTGCCACCGACATACCTGGTCTCTCCGCTTGCAATAGGAATTGTAGAAAACGTGCCCTTCCATGAGATATCAACAGGGGCTGAAGCTTAGTAGTAGTACACGCTGTTAGACACAAGACACAAGTTAATATACTCATCATTATTTACCTATCTATTGTTACTTATGCATGTATGTTGAACTTCTTTCGCACCGTACAAAGCCAAACATGCTAATTCTAGATTTGAAGCTTTCGTGACTGCAATGATTCATACTCTTAGTTTTTTCGGTAAAGTCAGCTACCTACGTGACTTTACCGAAAAAACTAAGAGTACCAACCATGCTAATCAGAGGTACGGAGGAAGGACAAAAAAATAAACAGAAAAAGTAGTTCCAAAGAAATGTTTTAATTTAGATTTAAATGTGCATAGCTCCAATGGCATCCTTGTATCGGAAGGAAGAGCGTTCCAGATGGCCGCAGAAGTCCATTCTGAGTATAATCACCTTAAAGTACTTAATTAGTATGGTGCTGAGGAATATAAAAAATAGACAACAGAATGAGGCTGCAATGAACTTGGAAGAAACCCCACAGTTATCTGAGGTGCACACCTGGTTTTCATCAGTTCTGGGCCGACCTGGACCTTGAACTCCAAGTCACATAGAACACTATCTGTGATCGGTTATTGTGTGGAGGTCGTAAAAGCTCAAGACAATTGCTCAAAAAATCAAATTCTCACTCAATTGTTGCTTGAAGAGATCCTAGATTTACTGATCAGCTTGTTCAGACACCTGGGTACTCTGGTAATATTGACGCACTCCGCTGCTCCTAACATGGTTACCTGGCTTGACTACCTGAATGTGAAATTGTAGTTGTTGCTCTGCATCTACATCAGCCACATTAAAGAAGATTTCTGACATGCAAATAATGTAGCATAAGGCTCATGCAGTCACACATGTTATTATGGATATAATGCTATCGGAAGCCTGCACCTTATGTGTGTCAGGCTCATCTCTCTCTCTCTCTACCTGTCCACTTTGGGCACAGTGGCACATACTACAATGGTAGCATTTCAGAGGAAAGTGTTGGTGGAACATGTAGATTCGTCAAACATATGCACATGCTGGACAGAGAATTGGCTAAGGAATGCAGCAAATGGGATCACGAACCTGTCCTTGTAGACTATTGTTGTGTATCGTTCCCTGGAAGCCTGTTTTTTCTCGAGACCACTCTGGTTTCCTCCATGAGCAAAAACTCAATAAATCAACCAAATTTCTCAAAGAAGAGCCCTCGTAAAAAATAGTTGTGAAACTTAATGAACCTTGGAGAAATAATGGCAATATTATTTTATTTTACCTTTGTCTCTATACAATCTTTACAGTTATCTAGCCTCATAGCATCTGAGCGAGTGCTGGAGGACGTTAAAGGTTCAGCCCCCCTTTCTAAATTCCTTTCCTTAAGTCAAAACATATTGATACAAGATGTAATACTCGTGGTGGGTGTTTTTTTATTTGACCAGAAAACACTTATGATAATAAAAACAACGTTTATCATTTAACATTAAAACAAATTGTATTAACTCGCTGCTGTGCAACAGTGGGGAGATGTTACTCTCTTGCCTGGTATACAGGAGGTCATAGGTTCAATCCAGACCCTGACACCTGTATATTTGGAGTTTGCATGTTTTCCCTGTGGTCGCGCAGATGTTTCTCTGGTTCCTCCGGGTTTTCCCTCTACATTTAGAAATATGACTGATATACATTTCCATATAAGCCACTTCGTTGAGATATGATTTCTGGCCAAGTCACCTCTGAAAATTAGCTATATAGCTCTGTGGGCCTTATCTGGTAAGAAAAAAAAATATGCCTCGCCTATAGGCAAGGTCACATGACAGGGTTGCGGTTATCTTGATATGTTGGTACAGTACATGAGAATACACTGAATATTGTGCAAAATAAAACGCGTGTAAAAGCTTCAATTAACATTTAGTGATGCTCATCTCAATTACTGAGTGATGGGAGTGTTTGGGACAATCCCTATCAACATTCAGGCCATTTACATTTTTACATGCAGAAAATAAAACCTTACACTGAATACTCTATTATTTCCTATGGCAATATGTTTGGGAGCTAAATGCCAATGGCTAGGTCTGCTAGCCACGATTCGAGGGCTTCAAAAAATAGTATGTGCAGTTTTGATATTTCTCCATTGATGGAGCGACGACTACAGTGTTTTACAATATGTTCCATACTTTGAGTTGCATGACCACAGTTGCACTCCTGTGGCCTACAATACGTTTTCAATTGTATGCAGGAGATGTGCGCATCGGCCTTACTCTTATTCCAACAGGACGTCAAATTCAACTCTGCAACACTCAAATGGGACTCACACTCTTGGAGTCGTGATGACCATTTCATTAATCTCAGCCACAGTCACCTCACCGGGGCAATTCTCACATTTTCCAAAGGCTCGTGCTGCTTTGAGGTCCCAATTATCACCTGTTTGAGCACCTGCAGAGTGTGCTGTGCCGTGGTGGTGGAGATGACCACGTTTGACTCCGAGGGACTGGGTCGCAGCGTAAGGGACAGCCCTGAGACCAGCGTCACGTGCAGCCGGCTGATGGACACCTTCTCCTTGCTCACCGTGACCGCGCGTTCCCCCAGAATCAGATCCGACACCGGCGATAGGACCTAGTGTGAGAAATTAGCAAAAGACAATTAACGGTTTCCCCCCATCGGTTAAATTCAGGGCTCGAAATAAAATTGGGGACGCATTGTGGTGTTTATATTTTTGGTAAGGTGAGTTTGATTCTGATTGAATGCTTAATCTTGGTTTTCACTTGATGAACAATTAAATGCATGACACTGCACCACTTTCACAGTGTTAACATTCTCATCACCATCATGAGCCACTCCAGGATGAAGGCCTCTCCATGTTGTCACCATTCCTCACAATCCTATTCTGCCACAATACATCTCACTCCTGACGATATGTACGTATGTACAGTATGTACTCAGATGCATTGCGGCTCTTGAAATACTGAATTTTGTACCGAATTGGAAAGAAATGGCTCTTCGTGTTATTTTGGTTGCCGACCCCTGGTCTAGACCATCGGCCATAATTTCTTCAGACAATGTATCCGGCCTAAACAAACTTACTTTCTCAAGAGTCAGGATTATTTTTCTGCTTTGCATTTATTCTCCAATCCACGTGCTATTTAATTCCCACCATGTAGCTCTCCATGCTTCTTTGCATATGTTTCATATTTTGTTAAACATTTTTAGCATGCATAGTTAAACACGTTTTGCAGGCACAAATGCACACACCTATGAAAGGATATGTTCACAGAGACAATCTGCTAGAGGTTCACAGGTCGCATTTCTCTGTCACCCAGCAACACTTATATATTATTTAAGTACATCGAGTGCTATAAAGTAAACGGAAAAAAGGCAGACATCATTCATGAAAGGTTAAAATGTAAGCCATTGTTGTGCGCTGAGGTCATTCCTCAAATCCCATGTGTCTATCGATCGCTGTGAAAATGTGACCTATTGGTTGGATTAACCCATAGTGCCATCCAATTGAAGGCCTTAAGCCACAACACGTTTTTTTGTGTATCAAAACAAGAAACATGCTGTACAAGCCACATAATTTAGTTTATATCACAATCATGTGAAATTATTAAGCATATAGATCCCATCTGTGAAGGATGTGATCCCTGAAATGCAATGCCCCGGCGTCTACAAACTAAGCTGTGTCTGCGGCAGTAGTTACATTGGGGAAACTAGAGACATGTCTCGGACCGTGTTCGCGAACATGAGGCAGATCTGAAACATGGTCGGACCAATACCTTGGCTGATCATTGTTTTAATGCGGTGGGCTCACGCGAAATTCATTTCTCTAAGATGAAGGTACTATGCAAACCCACAGGCTATCAACAAAGATTCGTTCATGAAGCCATCTATATATATCGACACAGACACAATTTCAACCGAGAAGATGGGTACACACTCAATAATCATTGGAAGGACGTTATTAACGAGTTTAAGTCATAATTGACTGTGATGTTCCCATCCAACCACCTTTCGATGTTAGTTGTTATTTTCGGCTCTCTCATTTTTACATTATCAAATTAAATTTCTCACACTAACACAGCTACCTCACGCGCCATCCTCGAGGTTGCTGCTCGGCGATCTTGCATTAACATGCTAATCTCTCACATTAACATGCTAATCTCTCACAATAACATAGCCACCTTGGCCCGCTCACCGTGGAGGATGCTCGACGATCTTACATTAACATGCTAATTTTTACCTGGCAGCCCTTTGGTGGAAAACTCACCACCGCCGCAAGTCGCTGCCCACCACTTGCATTAACATTGGCTGCTGACATTTGGGCTCCGCCCATTTCAAACCTTTATAAACAGTTGTCTTTAGAAGCTAACCCCCCTTTTCCTGATGACGACTGCTTGTGTTGAGATCGAAATGTCGTAGTTTTAGTTATTTTTGTTATTTATTTGAACATATCTATGTGACTTTACCGAAAGACCCAAATCATGTTTTGTAGTCATGGTATTCAAATGATGTGTCATGGTATTCAAATGATGTTTTATCATGATGATCTAAATTCGAGTTAATTTGTGGTACACCTCTCTTTTCCCATGAATCTGGAAACCACTTGATCTGCTGGCAGCGCTACGCTCTTGCTGATGTTGTTTATTGCTCGTGCCACCACTAGTAGGATGCGAGTCTCAAACTTTAAAACGTTTGTTCAGGTAGGCATCCCTAACTGGCCATGCAACCACAATGCAATGCTTGCCACGTGATGCTGAACATGAGTGCCACGTGTTATTGGATGCCAACATCTATCTTTACTCTATTAGACCATGCACACACTCAGTAGCTTTATTTACTTGGCAATGGGTAATTTAAAGAGGTGTCAGAAGCGCAGGGGGCAAAACGTGTTTAACCATGCTTAAAGGACACATCGTTAATTACACATACAGACACTCTTCGCAGACAACTCAAATCAACAATGACCCAGACAAGTGTGTGTAAATGATGTGACCCGCAAGAGAAAAAGCATCCAATTCGCATAACTTGCCCACCTCTTGCATAGTGGGACCTCTTTACGATGTTCCACTTTTATAGTTGGACACAAGACATTGTCGAAATTTCTATCGGTGAAATATATTTTTAAAAAGGTAAAGGTGCAGCCCTACGATTAGCTGCTAATGCCATTGCGGGCAGAAGGGCCTACGCTCGAGGGAGCACTGATAAGTCCCTCTAGAGGGTCTTTTGCCTTACGTTTCCAGGTGGAAGTACCCACACTTTACCCCATAAAACACAACCTGCTGATTGAATCACCGTGGCGTATCCATTTGCAATGCTCAGTGGACAGAGACAGAGGGATTTAAGAAACACCCCCATTGTTTCAACTGCCGTGACGGCAGAATGAACCGGCCAACCCTCTGGATTACAATTCCAAGTGTGCTCACAATTGTACACCACAGCGCGCATTGAAATAATGTCTTACTTAAACATAACCTACAGGTCAGCCTGCATTGTTGCTATCTAATATTCTTTCACCTGGATAGCCGTCATCCCTGGCACAAGCCCCACAACGACCTTGCCCCCCACCAACTGGGCGGTCCTGGTGTCCTCCACCACCATGTAGTCCAGCACCAGCTCCGTGACGTCCACCAGCCACTCGGGACTCAGCATTGGCGACTCGTGAGGACCTCTGCCATCTGCCGGCTCATCGCTGGAGGTGCAGAACATGGTCCAGATGCTCACCAGCGCATGCTGGGACTGCAACATGCAGCCACGGCCCTTGGGCTCATCCTCTTCGTCACTGCTCTCCTCGGTGCTGAGAGCATATCAGCAAGCGATACATTGTATACAACTCAAGCTCACATAATGCATTGCCATGAAACTTCAAAGTGTTTTTTAGTGAGTAATGCAATGCTGCAATATTATTAATCGTTTGCTGTGTCTCCCTCAAAATTGATTTTAATAAATGAGAGCTAAGCAACTGCCATCATGATGTTGCCAACACTTTAGGGGTCTGTACTGCCCCAAGGCAGATATGGGGGTGTGCTTACTCAGGAACTTCCTGATATGATGGTGTTGAGTTTGGTCACGTGACCATGAAGTTACGAGTTAAGGGTCTCTAAGCCACGAGGCCAGGCAGGGGTGTCAGCAATTACATAGAGTACAAAATGGAGGCACAATTAGCATATCGGTGATGACGGGTGCGTCTGTTCATTGCGGGACTTTAAAAAGCATTGTCTATAAGTTCGTTTATGTTAAATCCTGACTTAAACCTTTCGTGACTGCAGGAATTTATATTTTTTGGGTCTTTTCGGTATCTCATCTCTTAATGATGATCGCTTGTGTTGTGATCAAAACGTCATAGTTTTTTGTTATTTTCTTTCAACCTATCTATGTGACTTTACCGAAAGACCTAAAGAATATTAGTTTATGTTCTTATAATACTGGGAATGCTGTCATAATGTTAGGGTTGTCGTTATAATGTAAATGCCTTTATAATGCTGTTAAATTGTTAAGATGAATATGAGGCCTAGTTAACAACGAAGCCTGCCACTTGCATTATTGTGAATGTTATTTGTAGTTGGATAAGTCGAGCCAGACTTGTGCCCATGTAACTTTAATGCGATCTTGAGAGCAAGGATGAAGAAGTATCTCATCCACAGTTCAGTGTTATGTGCAGCGCTGCACATTTAGGCTGCAGTATGGCGATTACACAAAGTGACCTTATTTAACACAGTAGCTTATTCTCTTGTATAGCTATTCAGTGCTAATGTAGGTACCTGGTCCATCCAGGACCTTTTGTTAAGATTCATGTTATCTAAGACGATGTTATGATGCTGCAGTGTTCATTCCTTGTATTGATATTGCAAGTATTAACATGCTGTATTTTGTGCTGTATTTTTCCATCAATTTACCTCGTTTCATTCATTAAATACGTTGGAGTCACATGTTCATCCTGGCTCTGAAGGTTTATTGAATGTGAGATTAACTACTCGGATAGTGGTGCAACGCAGCGCCCAGAGAGGCCGAGACAGGGTCAGTGTGAGAATGCAATTCTGCACGTGGTGCTTTCGGTATTGTGATAAATCCTGCTTCACTGTTCAACCTTTAAAGCAAGATGGATACATATCTAAGTTTGTAAATAAATTCCACGCGTATTTTGTTTATTCAGAGGACGGATAAAAGAAATAAAAAATTGTACTTAAATATACGAATTGATTTACCTTTTCTCGTGAAAAATTGGCACCCTCCAGCCTTTAATAACACTGAGATGAGAGTCAGACAGTTGAATCTGCAGGGGCAGCTGAGGCATCCAGACTGTCATATCCAAGGAGACACGCAGGTGTTCATTGGTGATGATGAGACGTGCCCGGGCTGAGCCTCTGCTCTCCTTGCCATTGACAAATGCCCAGCCACAGTTTTCTGACACCTGCACAGAGAAGATAAGGACCAGGTAAAACAGGTGTATATATAGGCAGGGTCAGTCAGTAACATGTCGTTCATTTAGAAGGTACAGGTTGCAGGCCCTGTAATTTCTTGTTCACACCACTGTTGGTTAAAATGTGTTTCCGTCAAAGGGAGCTCCCCCGTAAATAGTATCTGGGCCTCCTCTTCCACACTGGCTATAGATCTTAAAAGAGTTGGAAGTACTTCCACTTTACCCCACCACATGCAACCTGCAGATCAATGAACTGTGGTGTACCAATTTATACTAAAACTGACCAGGCTTAACTGTGCTATATAGATAGCTCTTTTGCAGAAGCGACCTGGCCACAAATTATAAATCAATGAAGTGGCTTATCATATGTGGAAATGTATAGCAGCCAAATGCGAGAAACGATGTTGATTCTAAATGTGGAGAAAAAAACCAGAAGACCTGGAGAAAAAATCACGCGACCATGGGGAGAGAGACACGCAAACTCCAAATATACAGGCATCAGGGTCGCGATTGAACTGGCAACCTCCTGTATACCAGGCGAGGTAGTTAACATATCGCCACCATGGCACTCCCCACGGAGGGTGGACATACTGGTGGGTGGACAGAGGAGGGGGGAATTAAGAATTGGTGACATCTGCTGATAATGACACCGCCGCAGCATTGACCTTAATATCTATGTATATAAAAGGGAAATTTGTGAATATGTGTGTCTGTTCGAAATGTTTAGCATACTTTCCAACATGCGACAAACTTGAAATTTGGCATGTGGGTAGCTTCCAGACTGTACACAATGTAAAAAGTATAAAAATAGACTTTTGTATTTGGGGGGGGGGGGGGGGGGTGGCGCAATAATGTATATATTTTGCACGGCAAGTGAGCGGTGACGTCTCATCTGTGATGTCACCCGCATGCGGCAGCGTCACGCGGTGTGCCTGCTGACGTCACGCATCCCCCCCCCCAACCCTCCGCGTTGACCGTGTATTCATCCAAGACAGGAATCCAAGTCCCGGGCGAAGCCAGGCAGTAATGCTAGTATTTAATAAACTCTAGCTAATATGCTTATATGCTTACTGCTTATCCTTACACACGCTGCCTATAGGCTTATACGCTCTGGTCGAGGAAGAGGTATTACGCACATTTCACACGTCTCAATATTTTGTGGAAAATGTTGCCAAAGGGACTCTGATAAAAACCTGAGCAATGGAAATAGACTTAATGCATGTCTCAATATTGATGGAAAAAAAGTGTCAAAAGTACTTGGCTTAAAACCTGAGGAATGGAACGTTCCATCCGATTTTTATATGATATATATATTCAGTTACAAGGAAGCCTTTGTCAATGAGTATCGTAATAGTCACTGCCAACACAGAAAATAAGCAGTTGTGTTACTGTTTTTGAGGCCATTATGTAAGGCGATAAGCAACCATTTAAATAAAACTGGAATTTGTTTAATTCCAAGGATGTATTTGTTAGAGTGATCATGAAGTGAACATGGAAGGTTTGGATTTGATTGCATTCCCCTCATAACCCTACATTTTTACTTTGTTCTCTTGATGACTCTACAGTCATCATACGATGAACTCTAAGTTATCTGTAGATATATTATTTCGGGTTCTGGATAAACCATGCTTGAGGGAAAAAAAGGATATAAGCATAAAATAAGGTGTTTCACGCAAATTAGCGATGTACAAATATTAGCTGCATTTAACTTGTGACTTAAGTGACCAATTACTCCAAAAAACAATAAATACAGATGAGACGCTATCTCTCTCCAGCCCCATTATTCTATGTATGTGAAAAATAAATACGTTTTCATCACTGAACCTATGTGTTTTCCATTGTCGATGTCAGGGTTTCTGAAACTCCAGTCATCACGATTCAGCAAGCTACGACTTTCCGTGTTTACCAATTTACTTTTCATTCAAATGCAAATGAACGCATTCCAAGCAGCACTTGCCCGATGATTACTAAACACATCCCGCATGCCGCACTAAGCAATTAATGCAGTTTTGGAAGTGGAAATTCTACATTAATCACTCCAGAGGCGTTTTACCCTGACAAGTGTTGTAGATGGAAGACACCTTTTTTGTTATATATATAAAAAAACATTTCCCCCTAAATATTGAATTTACAAGCTTTTTCCAAGACGCCAAAAAACAATGACTTAATTATATATAGGCATGAGGTATCGTTGGGTCTTTACCATCAATTTTAAAGCAGCTGGTGAATTTTAATAATGGCCTGCAGCTTCAGTGGTCTGCTATATGGTTCTTTGATGTCTAAAACTACTCTAATATGTAGCACGCTTTCCGCCAATAGAGCAATCTGCGCGGATATTGAATGTGAAGAGACGCCCACAGTATTTACGCGTATACAGTATGTATATACAACATCAGAGCTATGTTTTATGAACTTGCTATTTATATAACTGCAATGATTCAAACGTATTATGTAAAATGAAAAACATAAATTGTCCTTCAAAAATATACGCATCGGTTGGATAACCACGTTGTGCAATGTTTTCTCCGTAACTTATTGATGCCTGTTGGGGGTTAGCAGCCAGAGATACATTTCACCTGAAACCTCAAAGAATTGACAGGCAACAACGCCACGCCACACACGGCTGTTCCCCATCACGAGTGGGACGGACGCAGGAACACGACGGGAAGACCACCGATGACGCATGCCGACTGCGTGCATAATTGAAGTAAAACGGCAGTGAGTCAGAAGTCGCTTAATAAAGAAGGCAATACGGTCGGTAGAAGGCATCACAGCAGGTACACATCAAAAAAGAGTAAAGCACACGAAGTGGCAACGTGTGCAGAAACCGTGAACACTGCTTAGCGAAACAGATTTCATTATGGTTGGAGAGATTGAGGCACCTTGAGGATGTAGTGTCAGTCAAATGAACAGAGGCCAAGAGGGATGCATGTGGATCTGAGACCAACACGCTCTCCAAGGCAGCAAGGCACGTGGGAAAGGGTAGCGTCACGCAGTGTTGGTGCAGAGGGGAGAACGGTACAATGGGCAGTGGGACGGTTGGTAGGCGTGTAACGATGCTTTGTTGCATCTGCAACAATCAATTCTTATGCTCACCAATACGGAACGTGCATCTATATATATAAAATCGTTCATGTCTGTCTGTCTGTGTGTGTGTGTGTGTGGACTTTGGCCCATACGCACTTTCATTGGACGGCGGTTGCCCCTGGCAACGGCTAGCCACGCCTTCGCCGCTTTCATTGGACCTGGCAACGGCTAGCCACGCCTTCGCCAAGGGCTGCAGTTTCATTGGACGGCGGTTGCCCCTGCCAACGGCTAGCCACGCCTTCGCCACTTTCATAAGCTCCGTATTTAATTAAATAATAGCCATTACACAGTATTGTTGGAGCGCTAGGGGGGGGGGAAGGAACGCCACCCGTACCCTGCCTCTTCCAAGCCGACAATTTTAGGCGAGGCCGCAGGCTTTGCACGCTACTAGGCCTCGACACCCACCACGCCACTCTGAGGTAAATTCATCAAAGTTTTTCCTACTCTTCACTACACCCCCACCACAATGTGTGCTATTAATATTACTTTTAAACCCAACGCGCCAACAATCGATTACTTTAATGTTCACTGTACAAATACTCATTAAGCTGGGTGAGCGTACTGCCAGTCTATCATGTACACTGTAGCCTGCTTATTAAGCTCGGTGAGCGTACTGCCACTCTATCATGTACACTCTAGCCTGCTTATGAAGCTGAGTGCGTGTACTGGCAGTCTATAATGTGGACTCTTGCCTGGTTATTATAATCGATTCTTTATATGTTCTTTGTACAAACAGTCATTAAGCTGCTTGAGCGACCCCAGTTCGATTCCAACTCACGCCCACCACCGCTGACGATTATTTGAAACGGACCTGGCCCTCCCCTAGGTCCACTCAGCCTCAAAAGCGTAACTGCTGTCGTGTGTGAACATCGTCACTGGGGAGACAAAGGCGGCGGGGCATCGTGGATCCAAGTCCCGGGCGAAGCCGGGTCATGTGTATGTGTGTTTGTGTTTATGTGTATGTCTGTGTGTCTCTATGTATGTGTGTATGTATGTGTATGTATGTGTTTGTGTGTATGTGTGTGTATGTATGTGGGTTTTTTTTATGTCTTTATGTGTATGTCTGCGTGTCTCTATGTATGTGTGTATGTACGTGTGTGCATGTGTTTGTGTGTATGTATGTGTGTGTGTATGTATGTGTGTGTCTATGTATGTGTGTGTATGTGTGTGTATGTATGTGTGTTATGTGTCTGTCTGTGTCTGCATGTATGTGTGTGTGTATTGTGTATGTGTTTGTGTGCATGTATTTGTGTGTTTGTGTGTTTGTGTGCATGTATTTGTGTGTTTGTGTGTATGTGTATGTCTGTGTGTATGTGTTTGTGTGTATGTGTGTGTATGTATGTGTGTGTATGTGTTTGTATGTGTTTGTGTGTTTACGCTCGCATTACACAAATGTGTTGCTGGTCTAAGGCGTTCCTCGCACAGCATTGCCGCTTTATTATTTCAGTCGTTTACTGCCTTACGCACCCTGAAAGTCGTGTGTGTCTGCAGCAAGCGCGTGTATGTGTACCTATGGACGCGCGCGCGTGTGTTGTGTAGGGGGAACGGTAGTGTAGTGCTTAGCGTGCTGTCTGTGTCTGTGTGTGTGTGTGTCTGTCTGTGTCTGTCTGCATGTGTCTGTGTGTGTGTCTGTGTGTGTGCGTGTGTGGTGTGTGGGGAGCGGTAGTGTAGTGCTTAGCGTGCTGTCTGTGTGTCTGTGTGTGTGTGTGTCTGTCTGTGTCTGTCTGTGTGTGTCTGCGTGTGTCTGTGTGTGTGTCTGTGCGTGTGTGGTGTGTGAGGAGCGGTGGGTGTAGTGCTTAACGCTACGCTGCGCTACCAACCCGGCGAACCCAGTTCCATTCCCGCTCACGGCCACCACCGGTGACGATTATTTGAACCCCCCCTAGGTCCACTCAGCCTCAAAC